CTCTCTCTCTCTCTCTCTCTCTCTCTCTCTCTCTCTCTCTCTCTCTCCTTTTCTTTTTGAACAACAGTACTAAGGACTGAGCACAGGGCCTGCCACACAACACACATGCGCTTTAGCTCCATCCTGAGAATATCCACTTCAGGTGCTTGATCTAAGTTTTCCCCTCAAGTTTAAAAAAAAAAAAAAGTGAAAATTTATAAATAAAAATTTATGATTTGTACGTTCTATATTCCACAAAAATAGGGACTCAAAATAACTAAAAACACAAAGAATTACATAAGTATTGATTTTTAAAATTACATAAGAATTATATAAATAATGATTTTTTAAAAAACCTAGTTAATTAAAATTACATTCTTATACCATGATATAACATGATGCATTTTTGCTTTACATGACACATTTATTATATATACATCATATATACCCACACATCACAAACACTTAAAGGCTTTCTTTTGCTAGGAACATTTTAATTTTACTAAGAATATTTTAATTTTCTACTTGTGTGTCTTTCTTATCACAAATTTCTACAGTGAACATTTTTATAGAATTTCTAGTCATATGCTTATCAGTTGCTTCTTGAGTTTTGAAAATATGCCGGTTAATCTGTGAGTATTGCCCATTTCCACTGTCTCGAGGATACAGCATCCAGCACTGACGAGTGGTAGAACCGATGTCAATTCTACTCCTCCTGGAGAGAGAGAGAGAGAGAGAGAGAGAGAAAGGTTGACTCACTCAGCTATCCTGCAGATGCCTTCTGTTCTACCTAAGACAGAACAATGGCAACTAGCATACAGAGGTTTTTCTTAGAGATAAGGAGTATTCTGAGAAGCCTATAAATATCATCCAGGCATTTAGTCATCATAACCACATTATGCCATAACTACTGCTGCTCCCCTCCTGATTATAGAAAATGAAATTCAGCAACAGAGAAATCGATTTACCCAGGTGTCATTAGATGCTGGGCCTATGCAGTAAAACAACCTTCTGTACCCCTTGAGTTTTAGTATAGAATTAATGGGCATGCTCTGTCTAATTAGTGTTCCCTGGAAATTTCCTCTGATGGAGGCCTAGGAATCTGTCAGGTGGAAAAACAAGAGAGTGCAGGTTGTTCCTAACCAAAGCAGTGGCGCTGCCTAGATGCTGGGATGGTACAGGTCTGGGTGCTGGCTTCCTCAGGAGCCTTCGGCCTCCTACAAGTATTCTTGTATGAAAGCAGTTTGAAAAAGTAGTGTTTGTTATTCCCACATTAGGCAGGCATTGAGTTTCCAGAAACCTCCGTCCTCTCAAATGCTCATGCCTTCAGGCAGCTGCTAGAGAGGTCACGTCTATCTTCCTTCACAATAAATAAAACTATCTAACGAAAAAGTACTCCCCCAATGCCTAGTATATTTGAGAGGTATCATAAAATACATTTTTTCAATTGTTCTTGATAAATAAACAAAGGTATATCTTAAATTATGCTTTCTACATGTTCAAGCCCAGTGCAGGAAATGTATGCAGGGTTTGCATGATAGACAATTCCCTCAAATAGCTGTGGGCTGGCATATTAACGAGGCAGGGAGTGTGCCGGAAGTTAAGCTCATCAAAGGTAATTGTGACTCTCACTTGACCCATGTAATACTTAAGCTGTCACTTCATTTTAAAAAGACTTCCTTTCGTGATACATTTGCAGACACAAAAAAGTAGTCAAAGTGATTCATTAGTGGTTTCTGACAAGCTTCTGTAAGGAGGAGCCTGGAAACAGTAGATCTCTAAAAGGAGATCAGAAAGGAAGGCATTTTCTGATTTTGTCACCTAACTATGCACACGTGTAGAGGAGCATGTAAAGTGTAGAATGTATTTTTACAATTTATTTTAAAACTGGATCCATTCAATTGTCGTGTATGTGTGCCTACGGTGTAGCAAACTGAGCGATCTGCCCTCGGAATACTGTGGTGACTAAACCAAAGGACTACTAGGTTACAGGAGGCTACTGAGGTTACAGACAAGTAATCACAAGTGCAAATGGCACGATGCTGTCTAGAGCAGTTGGGAAGAGGTGGTGTAGGTGCCACCCAAGAAGGAAATGGCCATGCAGATGTCTTCAGAGTGGGCAAGAGTTTGCCACACAGGAAGAAATGGGAACAATTCAAGAGATCCAGCAGCTGAAGAAGAAAAAAAAAAAACACCAAGGGCTAGGAACATCCCTGCGAAACCCAACACAGCAGAGTAGAGCACAGAGAGAAGAATAGAGACTATAAAGAACAGCCCTTCAAGCCCCATGTGTCCCAAGTATTTGTAGAGGGTCTTAAAGGAAAAACAGGAGTCCTTTTAGGCCACTCCAGCAACACTCACAATGCCAGTGTGTGATAAGGCCTGTTGCTCACACACTTAATATTTAGCTGGTTAAAGTTACTCTTTATAGTTACAACTGACTGAGCTAAAAGACCAGCCTTTGATTCTTAAGATACTAGAACCATCAACACTATCTTTATGCACAACCTCTAAAAAGTGCATCTCTAATCGACACTTGTACCCGGCAGTGTTTGGGGGTTTTTGTTTGTTTTTCTATTCAATATTTTGGGATCTGAATCATCTATGTAGAATTCCTAAAGCAATTTTATAATATATATTATACATGTTCAAAATTTTATATTTATTACAGTATATTAAAGTCCAAAAGTATGTATAAAACTTAGAGCCTGGTTTCCAAGACATCAATAGCTTAAGAAAAACTTAACTATAGAATTGCATATTTGTTGAAAATTAAAATGACCAACTTGTCTAAGTTTGGCCAATAAGAATAGAGAAGATGTGAAGAAAAATTATACCTAAGGAAATAGAGGAGAAAGAAGAAGCAAAGCGAGTATAAAGATCTATTTCCTATTTTCTTGTTACTGTGACAAAGCAGCTGAAGGAAGGAGGGCTTACTGTGACTCTGGGTCCCAGCCATCAAGACATGCCAGGCTGTGAGACCGCAGGCCACAGTGCATCCACTACCAGGAAGCAGAGACCACTTTCTCCTTTTTATTCCTCTGTAACCTCAGTTCATGAGATGGCACTGCATCCATCCAGGGTTAAATCTTTCCAGAAATGGCCTCACATAACCACTCGATGTTAGGTTTTCATGGTGAGTCTAAATTCCATCAGGTTGTTACACTTTTTTAATTTGTTGCTCTTGAGTTATTTTAGTGTTGGGGAATGGAATTCAGCTGAGGAAGCCTAGGTTTGCAGGTCAAGAATGTACTGAGTTGCTTCCTCTAGATAGATTTGTCTTATCAGAATGAGACAAGCTTGTCATTTCAAACTCTTCATCGATTCTGAGACAGCAGCTGGGAGATCCAATACCAGACCAGGAACTCTACATACTCTACAATTTGCACATTCAGATTTAGATCTATATAATTCTCTGAGAGAGTGAAACATTCCACTTCTTTTATTTATTTATTTAAATTTTATTTTATGATTTAATTTATTTTTATTATATTATTTATATTTATTATTAATTATATATACTTTATTATATTAATTATATTTTATAATTTATTTTTAATTTTGCATGCATATTACTTGCAGGGCTGCTACCTGTGCAGACTAGAAAGGAGCATCAAATCCATTGGAATTAGTGTTACGCTCGGTTGTGAGCTGACATGTGGGTGTTGGAATTTGAACCCAGGTCCTCTAGAAAAGCAAGTACTTGACCACTGAGCCTCAACTCAACCCCAACCCGGCCACTTCTTTTTTTCCACTCAGAACTAAGGGGTTTTAGAAAGACTCACTTCCCTTTTCCTAATTTATAAGCAACCACAGTACCTAATTGCTTGGCAAGATGAATTTTTAGCATCTAAGTAATTGAGTTTATCATGTCTTGAAGAGAAGGTCAAAAGCAACTATGTACTGGGCTCAAGTGTCTGTGAGCTTAGCCACCCAGGGTACACAGGGTGAAGGTTCACATAAAGGAATTTTTAATGCCATGAACTTGGGATTACTGGGGGTTTCTTTAAAATTCGCTGAATCTGAACTACCTTGGGGGATAATTGTTTTAAATCTTCTTAGAAATGTTCCTAAAGAGATTATGTATTGGGGAAAAAATGCATTTTCTCTCAACTTGTCATTTTTTTCTGAACTCTATAATTTGTAAAATTCTATCTCTCAATATGATAGATGAACTATTCCCAAGATTTTGATATTAAGCTCTAAGTCTTTTAAATATAAGAATGAAAATGTATAAACTTTGTCAGACAATAGCAGACAGCATGTGGATGGATTAAAGATCTTTAACCTTGACCTGGCAAGGTGGCTTGAGAGAGTAAAAATGCTTGCTACCAAACCTAAAGACCTGAGTTCAATCCCTGGGAGCCACAGGAAGAAGGAGGAAGTAGACTTTCACAAATAATAGATAAAATGTATTTTTAAAGAAGAATACATATTTTTGACCTTTCTCTGACAACTTTCATTTTTACCTATCTTAAATTGAAATTCTAAGTTCATAATATTAAAACTGGCAATATGCTTTTTACATGAAAACAAAACAAAAAACAATGGTCTTTAGGATCTTTTCTATTGCCACTTAGTGACAATTTCCCCCACACCCCAAAGAAGACACTTTGCAATGCTACACTAATTAGTCATATTGTTTCCAGAATGCCAGCACTAGTACCATTATCCTCAAGGTACAGGTGAAGCTACTGAGGCACAGAAACTGTAAGTGATTGGCCTTAACTTGAACTCCAGAGGCTTCACCTTTTCCTTACAGAACAATAGGTTGCAGCATACTTGTGTGAACCAGTTCTCAGTTCTCCATTTAATGTTTCCTTCAGTCCTCAACCCATCTTTCTGATTATTGTACTGTGCAAGATCAGGACGGTGCCATTTGCCAGTACCTCAAGGACATTCAGTTAATGATTAGCACACATTTCCCCATGTGCTGACTACAGGCACACACCTCCACCACCACCTCTGGCAATTTTTACACAAGTTCTGAAAAGTAAACTTTGGT